CCCCCCTCCCTCCTCCCGCAGCTTCTTTCTGGCAGAACTTCCCAACAGAGACGCTAATTAACGGAAAATCTTAACCTTAAGTAAGTCGTTGCTCCAGTGGAGGATAATATATCCGGGGTGTGTGTGTGAATGGAGGTGCAACCCTTAATTCTGCCTTCACCCCCTTCCCCTTCCAGGCTCCCCCAGGCGCTCCCTGTGCTATTTCTACCTGAAAGCGTCAGAGCCCAGCCAGGAGCTGCCCCGGTTCCTCTCCGTTAAAGAGTTGAAATTGGTGACTAAAGTATTGCAGGATTCAGAACTGGCTAAGAACCAGGAGGAGGAGGAGGAGGAGGAGGAGGAGACTGAGGCTGATCATCTGGTTCCCCCCCCCTCCCCAGGCAAGGAGGCTAATTGGGGAAGGGGCTTAGACTCTTCTCCGCTTTGAAACCTGCCCCCTCCCACTGTCAGGGCCACCCAGACCTTGAGAAATCCTCCGTTAAAATCCTGGCCGGGGTTCCAGATTTGGCTGCTACACCACGTGCCTCCTGCAGCCGAAGACACCCGGGCGTAGCCACCAGAGTTCAGCAAGGGAAATCCCCTTTTGAAATTATGAAATCCTCACCCGTCAAGAGAAGTATCAGCACCGAAGGATCAGCCAAGAAAAGCCCCGCCCCTTCTGCCGCCATCCCGCCCCTCGCCGGAGATGTTTGCACCTTCCTGGTGCAGTTTTATTTCCCATTTTCTCTAGAGGTACCAGGTGCCCAGAAAGGCTTGTCCCCCTGCCTTCCCGGAAGCACTGGGGGGGGGGATGGCAGGGGTGCAAACCAGCAAGCCCAAAAGGGGGGGGGGAGATCTTAAGGCAGAGGTTCCCTGGACTTTGGGAAGGAAAAGTCCTCCAAGTGTGGTTGTGAGTCCGTGTGTGTGAGTCCGTGTGTGTGTGTGTGATTGCCTTCCAAAGCCCTTCACAGCACAGCTCCGTGTTCTCAATGGGGCGGAGCTTCTTCCTGGAGGCCTGGCTCTTTCCCCGAACACTCCATCACAGAAGCCGCTCGGCTAAGGATCTCCGGATAAAAGCATTCCTGCCCATTTCTCCCCACAAGAACCCTGTGAGGTAGGCTGAGCTGAAAAAGGAGTTTCTAGGGTGGAGGGTGAACTGGAGTCTCCAAGGGCAGGCCCACTAACCCATACTGTCTCCTGCTTGAAGAGTCAGATCCTGAAACAGGAGGAGAAACACCCGAGGCGGAGGTGGCTCCATCCCACTCTCAACATTCTTGGCACCTGGACAGCCTTTTCCTACTGGAAGGAACTGGCGGCTGGGGGGGGGGGGTGTCACCTTTTACCTTTGCTACAAGCAACAAAAGTACTGAGTCCCTTTGGTGCCGAGGAAGGATTTATTGATGCAGTTGGGGTTTTTTTCTAATAATTTTTCTTATTTTTTTATTTATTTTGGAAGTCAAAATACAAACTCCGAAAAGAAACAAGAACAAGAACGAAAGTGAACAAAACAAAACAAAACAAATGCACGGAAAGAACAGACATGCACGTAGATTGCAACCCCACCCCCGAATACCGATAAATATATTTCAACCAGAATAGCTTTGCGGTCCCCCCCCCCTTTGCAAAACAGCTCCCCAGTTTATGGGGCTTCTTACAGCTCCATTTGCTTAAGCAGTTCGACCTCCCAGCTCTCTCCTGGGAAAAAAAAAAGCGATCGATCTCTTTCTTCGTTCAGACGGAAGGCTCTTTTCAAAGGGAGAGGGAGAGAAGAGATCCCCTCCCTCTCCTTCCCTCCCGCCTGGAGCCGCAGCCAAAGCCGGAAGGTCCGAGAGGGACCCGGACGCCCCGCAGCCTCCCTGGCCGCCCTCGCTCGCTCGCTCTCTCCGGCCTCCTCCATCTCTGCCTGGAGCCCCCGCGCAGCTCCGACGCCCATCCCGGCGCTTCTTCCCTCCTTGCCCGGCTCGGCGCTTTCGCGGCCCCTCTGGAGTCTCTGCCTCCTCAGGGAAAAGTCCGGAGCCCCTGAGTGCCCGCCTGGTGGCCTCCCTTCCCTTCGCCCGGCTCTGCTCAGCCCTTCGGGGCTCCCTCCGGAGAGAAGCCGGTCCTTGCTTCCCCCCATCCCGCTTCCCCCCCATCTTCAACTCCTTCCTAGCCGCCTCCGCCACGGGGGTCCTGCGACCCGTTTGTGCCCCTGGAGCTTCGCCTGCCCTCCGTTTCCCTCCTGCACAGTCCGAAGCGCCTCCACTTCCCTGGGAAATGCCCTCCCCTATTACTGCAGAGAGTCATCGACGTACAGCAGTTCATTTAGTGACCGTTCGAAGTTAGGACGGCACTGAAAAAAGTGACTTATGGCTCCTCTTCACACTTATGACCGTGGCAACATCTCTCCCCCCCATGTGATTTACCTTCGGATGCTTCTTACTAACCCATACTGATGACAGTTGCCTTGTCCTGGAGTCACGTGATCCCCTTTTGCGGCCTTAGCCAATGGGGAAGCCAGATTCACTTAGCAACGGGGTGACTAATTTGACCCCTGCAACGGTTCACTGAACAAACGTGATGAGGAAAGTCGTAAAATGGGGCAAAACTCAGCTAGTGTCTCAGCTCTAAATGGATGGTGGGGAATGGAAGGATTTATACTCCTTGCAGACAGCTGGTCATTTGCATTATTTTAGAGCAGTGGTTCTCAACCTGTGGGTCAGGACCCCATTTGGGGTCGATCGACCATTTCATGGGGGTCGCCAAGCAAGGCTGTCTGCCATTTTTTTTGTCCATTTTTTTTGTCCGCCATTTTTTTTCCCCTTTTCCAACGGGTGCCTTACCTCCCTTGGGCTGGGCCAGCTGGTGGTCGGCCTGCTCCGTCTCTGCCGCTTGCCAGCTACGCCTCGGCCGGCGCAGGGGGCGGAACCACGCATGTGCGGCGCTCCCAGGCAGGGAAAGTCCTCGACTTATGACCGGTTGGGTAGTCCTCGACTTACGACTGGTTTAGTCCTCAACTTACAACCGGTTTAGTCCTCAACTTACGACCGGTTTAGTCCTCGACTTACAACCGGTTGGGGTCGCAGCATTAAAAAGGTTGAGAACCACTGTTTTAGAGAGTCGTTGAGGCCACTTGGAGGTTTATCTGTCTCGTCAGGGTCACCTGAGTAGTACAAATGAATGTGGAGTTTTCTTGGAACTGTTAAAATATTGTGTTGTAGACTGAAGATAGATGATGTTGTATCCCTCCCCCTCTGCTGGACAGAGAGGACCGCTGGCTTGAAAGAGGGGTCAAAGAGACCATCTATGTCAAAACTGAACAGCCCTCTCTCAACAGAGGGGGAGGGATACGATGTCATCTATCTCCAGTCTTTCAATAGTTCCAAGATGTCTCAACACCCATTTGCACTACTCGGGTGACCCTGAAGACACAGATAAACCTCCAGGTGGCCTCAATGACTCTCTAAAGGAAGGCAAATGACCAGCTGTCTGCAACGAGTATAAATCCTTCCATTCCCCACCATCCAGTCAGAGCTGAAGAAGCTTCTTGGATGAGAAGCGAAACGTCTTCAAAGAAAAACAAGAAAGTTCAGTTGCCCTGTGAAAAAGCATCTTTGGGCTAAAGGGGATGTATAATGGAACAAGAAAATGGCAGAATGAGGTTGATCCAAGAGCTTCGACAGATATCATCACTGAGAGCCAGGTGGGGTAATGTCCAGTTTCCCAAGTAGATTAGACAGGAGACATGACTAGATGAGCTAATTCCACATTATTGAAAAGCTACATGAACAGAATCTTGCAAGTCTGAAGATGCAAATCTCCTGCAGTCTCCTTCACAGCCTAAGAAGCTATTTCCCCCTGAGCTTCTCATCCTGCCCATTATGCAGCTGTGGGCTAAGGCCTCTCTTATCTCACCCTTCCCTAGGCAGCATTTTCTCTTCCCTTTCACTCAAGGTTTTTCACAAGAACCATTACACATAATGTTTTATTTTTATTTTTTCTTTTTTTTTCTTCTTTTTTTTTTATTGAAAATTTTTAAAATTTTAACAATATAACTCCCCACCTCCCTCATACCCCACCCTTCCCCACCCCCTCCCTTCCCCCCGACTTCCCAGAGCTACACACAGGGTTTACAATACAATAATTATATTCTGTCTTAAATTATATTATCCTTAAATTAACAATTCTATAACATCCTTTAGCTCTCTTCTAAACTGACATATNACTCAAAAACCAAATGAAACTTTTTAGTTCCATATTTCTTTTCTATATAATCTATCCATCTTCTCCAAACCAGTATATATCTTTCTTGTGAATAATCCTTCACATAGGCTGAAATCTTAGCCATTTCTGCTAAATTTGAAACTTTAAATGCCCAGTCCTCTATAGTAGGCAAACGATCCGTTTTCCAACATTGAGCTATCAATAACCTCGCAGCAGTTATCAAATTCAGCATCAATTCCATTTCTTTTTTATCCAAATTTTCCATAATACCCAGCAAAAATAGCTGTTTTTAACATAATGTTAAAGGTGCTGGATTAGGAGAGAGAAGACCCGAATTCCAATCTTGCTTCAGCCATGGAACCCACTTCCTTGTTTTCCCCTTTGCAAATCCTGAAGAGCTGTATTCAGGCTGACAAGGGGTCCCGATAAGGCAATCTCGTTGTTAATGGGGTGGGGGAGAACACTACAACATAATCACTGTGCACCACCCAGAGTTGCTTTCGATGAGATGGATGGCTGCATAAACTTGATGAATGAATGAACAGAACATTTTGTTGCAGAACTTTTAGTTTTTTTCCCTCTGATGAAAGAGATGTCATCTTACAGCCTTGTATGAACTACTTACCACTGGAGGACTTTCAAAATCCTATATGCTGGCTGTAACAAAGAGGAGAAAAATCAAGACTCAGGGTGAATAGAATAGAATAGAATAGAATAATAACTTTATTGTCACTTTAAATGTACACTAATCAGCATACATTAAAATGAGATTTCATCGCATATAGCTCTCAGAGGGTAATCACCTCCAATATACACTGCATAAACATGACCAGAAATAAATAAAATAAAATATGCCTATAACCACATACACACATACATATGTGGCCCAGAGAAGCAACACAGTCTAGTTCAGACGTATATATATACATGACAAAAAAAACGAATCTTGCAAATTTACCAGATGGATGCCATAAGGAACAAAGCTGTTACAGAAGCTGGTAGTCCTACTAGAAATACTTCTAAACCTCCTCCCAGAGGGGAGCAACAGAAACAGTCCGTAAAGTGGGTGTGTGGGGTCTCTAACAATGCTTCGAGCTCTAAGCACGTAGCGCTTATAAGCAGTATCCTGAATAATGGGAAGCGAGCTTCCTATAATCTTCTCACCTGTCCTCACCACTCTCTGTATGGACCTTCTATATGAGGCACTGCTACCACCAAACCAAACAGTGATGCAGTTTGTTAAGATGCTCTCAATCCTGCTTCTGTAAAAAGTGGTCAGGACAGAAGGAGAAAGGTGTGCTCTCCTCATCCAACACAGGAAATGCAGACGCTGGTTTGCACCCTTCGCGTGTGGAGAGACCAAGTTGGATTGTTAGTTATCTGCACCCTCAGATACTTAATACTGTTGACCACCTCCACATCTGCAGCCTTGATACAGAGTGGAGTATGGCTATGCCGTCTCTTTCTAAAATCTACAATGATCTCTTTTGTTTTATTAGCATTTAGAACCAGGTTACTTTTATTGCACCAGTCCACCAGAGCCTTCATCTCTTCCCTATAAGTATCTTCATTGTCGTCCCGGATAAGGCCCACCACTGAAGTGGAGTGTGCCCTTTAGCCAGACAATACATCTAAGGGATTGCACACAAGAAATGCAAAACTCAGATACCTCCCATGTGTACACTTTAAAAAAAACACACACATAATTTCCTCTTGCTATCTGTCCTCTCCCATCAACCATCATATATCCTAGAACAGGGGTCCCCAACCCCCCGGTCTGTGGACCAGTACCGGGCCACGGCATGCCAGCAAACGGTCCACACAAACAAGAAAAGCCCCATCTGTGGGATGCAAGCAGCACACAAAAAGATGTTGAGACTCTAGAAAGAGTCCAGAGAAGAGCAACAAAGATGATCAGGGGACTGGACGCTAAAATATATAAGGAACGGTGGCTGGAATTGGGTGTGTCTAGTTTAATGAAGAGAAGGACGAGGGGGGACATGATAGCAGTGTTCCAATATCTCAGGGGCTGCCCCAAAGAAGAGGGAGTCAAGCTGTTCTCCAAAGCGCCTGAAGGCAGGACAAGAAGCAACGGATGGAAACTAACCAAAGAGAGAAGCAACCTAGAACTAAGGAGGAACTTCCTGACAGTTAGAACAATTAAGCAGTGGAACAACCTGCCTCCAGAAGCAGTGAATGCTCCAACACTGGAAGTTTTTACGAAGAGACTGGACAGCCATTTGTCCATATTATTATTATTATTATTATTATTATTATTATTATTATTATTATTATTATTGTTGTTGTTGTTGTTGTTGTTGTTGTTGTTGTTGTTGTTATACCACACCCCCTCTGGTCCACCGAAAAACCTCTCTCCACGGAACCGGCCCCTGGTACCTAAAAGGTTGGGGACCTCTGACCTAGAATAGGGATTTCCAAATTTGGCAACTTTGCGACTTATGGACTTCAACTCTTCGTGCTGGCTGGGGAATTCTGGGAGTTGAAGTCCAAAAGACTTAAAGTTGCCAGGTTTGGAGAGCCCTGCTCTAGAATAGGGTTTTGCAAAATCTGTTCTGCATGAATGTGATGGACATTGTTAAAAACAACAACAACAATGCAATCAAATACTGTCAGGCCTAGTAATTTTTCTAAAATATAGCAGGAAGGCAAAGATGATGGCCCCCTATCGTCTATGGAAATACCTTGGATGGTGTGTGTGTGTGTGTTCTTCTGCAAAAAACTGACCATGTTTATTGTTTTGCTTATGTTGGCCCCGCCACAAGTTACCCTGCTCCAGCATTACTTTCCTCTCTTTTACTCAAACAAACTCTTATGCAAAAGTTTCAGGGGGATTATTATGCACCCCCAAGAATTAAGTTTCATTTATTGCCACTTTTCTATCTCTAGAGTTTTGTCTCTGGATCAGGGCTGAAAACAAAATTAGTAAAACATATTGTGGTTCGCCGACGGGGCCTGACTTTTGCTACAGCTTGTATATGTTTCGCTCAGTTTTTGGTTGTGTGTTTTATTGTGAACTTTGCCCAGAGAGATTTGACGGCTGGGCAGTTTAGAAAATTCTAATGAATAAATCAGTAAAAATATGGATACATACACACTTACTTCTACGGGTAATCCTTGACTTAGGACACAGTGGAGCTCAAAATTTCTGTTGCTAAGCAAGACAGTTGTTCAATGACTTTTGCCCTATTTTATGACCTTTCTTGCCGCAGTTGTTAAGTAAATCAATGCTAAGTTGATTGATTGCTAAGTCAATCAATGTTAAGCTAGTATGATTTGTAGGCTACCCGAATGTAGCAAGATCCTATATTTCTCATTAGCAGGGAAGGTATAAATCTGCCACTCTTCATTTGGGCTAATCGGGATGGTTCCCCTTCCATCCCAAAGGCAATGTGTACCAAAATTACATTTCAAGGTCACTCACCTGATGCCATTCTGTACTCGTTTCTGCCCCATTTTTCTGCAAAACAGAATCAAGAAGTCAGTGACGATGTTCCCACTTAGAGATCCTTCGTTTTCCCCATCGGCCTGTGGTAGAAGTTCAGAGCTTCCGTGCTTCCTCCAGCAGCATCAGAAAGCTGTGGGCTGGACTGTGGAAGTCGGAAAAACCTTCTTGGAAGAAGGGAATGGTCCCCAAATGCAGGGTGTAAGCATGTCCCCAGCTGACCTCGGCAGGATTGAAGAAGCTATGCAGGATCAATGTTGATCAGTTCTTGGACTTCCCAATTTCAGCTTACCTCTGAATTTCTTGATGGTCTCCCATCCCAACACTAAATAAGCCCAGCTCGGCTTTGTTTCTTGAAGCCTGCGAAGATGAGTTAGCTATGGAGCTCCCAGGTTGTGTACCAAAACCAACAAGTTCAGTGTCAAGAATGAAAACCTGGCAGCTACATGCTTTATTGTTTTCATCTTGTCATTACAGTAAGTGGGAGGAGAGACAAGGCTTCAAATGGGTTAGTTAGAGAAACGAAACCTCTCCAGTTCTGGAGACATTTGTTGAGAAAAAGATGTATGGAAACTTTTCAAGGACATTCTAACCACTGTAAAGAAGCTAGCAGATGGTTCTCCAAACAACGAAGATGTCAACGCTGCTAACATTGGATGTTCTTGCTTTGACAACATATGGAGATGCAGCCTTTTTCTTTCTTATGCTTTACTCTTAGAATTAGATGATGCTGGGGGGGGGGAGGAATGTGATGGGAGTTAGTTAGACATAACAATATTGTAATAGTGTGTGAACTCAGGGCTTTTGAAATAAGAGATGATAAGAAATGGCGGGTTGAAGTAAAGGAGGGAAAGCCTGCATTTCAAACTAATTGGAGAATGTGATTTATGACTGTTAATTAGAGGAGGGAATTGTGTTTGATACTGTGTGCTAAGGGGAGGGGAATCCAGATTTTGGCTTCGACTATGTACGTCCCGAAGCTCGAATAAAGATTCTTTAAGGTAAACAATGCCTCAAAGTTCTTTGAAGAGTTTCATCTGTCGGAACTATGACAGAGAAGCTGTTTACATGAACTACGTGGACATCTGGGAGGTTTGGCTGGGAATGTCATTGTTTATATGCTTTGGTTAGATGTCTTTGGATTTTAGACTTAGTTTTCCTTCGCCTGTACCATGCCATGTATTCAATAAACCAACAAGATTTTCAGAAATGAAAGAAATCCTGGAATTTATTTGGTTATTAGGGCTGGAGGTTGACATTCAGGCAACATGCTCAAAAACAAACCAATCTCAGTATTATGGCTTAGAGCGATGTTCCTCAACCTTGTTAATTTGAAGATGTGTGGACTTCAACTTTGGGAGTTGAAGTCCACACATCTTCTAGTTGACCTGGTTGAGAAAAACTATCATAGGATATTATGTAGACCAGGCCTCCAGGATCTTCAGTAGGTTTGGAGGCCATGTTCAAAGTGAGCCTAATCAGGAAGCTTGTGGGAAATACAGGTTTTGGGGTGTGGAGGTTGGGAGCCCCACCCACATGTTTTGTGAATGACACACCTTGTGCCCACCCAAGAGATACTTACTGATGTAGACAATCACTCCAGCAGCAATGCAAACTGTGGTCACCACGACCCCCACAACTCCGCCCACGAGCCCCATGTTGGGCACAAAGTCTGTGTTAGAAAAAAGGGTAAAATGACTAGAGGTGACCTGGGATTTTTCTTCCCTAGAGTTTCCCAGTGTTAGCGAGAGGGCACCAAGACTGAGTTAACTAAGGCATGGTGCTCTACAACAGCGGTCCCCAACCTTTCTGGCTTTGTGGAGCCACGGGGAGGAGGGAGAGGGCATAGAACATTTTTCAAAGCACCTGAAGGCAAGACAAGAAACAATGGATGGAAACTGATCAAAGAGAGAAGCACCCTGGAACTAAGGAGAAACTTCCTAACAGTGATGACAATTAACCAGTGGCACAGCTTGCCTTCAGATGTTGTGGATGTTTCATCAGTGGAGGTTTTTAAGAAGAGACTGGATAGTCACTTGTCTGAAATGGTATAGGACAGTAATGGCGAACCTTTTAGATACCGAGTGCCCCAAAACCACCCCGCTCCTACTCCCGCTCCAACCCCACCCCACCTGCCCGCAGGGCCACTTACCACCTCCACGGCCCGCCACAGCAGATCGCCCAGGTGGCCCTGCAGCGCCATGGTGGCCATGCCCTCCGCCCATGCCCCGCAGCATCATCTGTGCGTGACGGGGCGCAAGGGCAGAGTCTTGTCCCTGCTTCCCGACTGCCATGTCCTTGGCTGCACTGCTCTGCACAGGCCACATCCAGGGGCAACTCTCCTCCAGGGGGGCTGCTGGTGAGGAGGGGGCCACAGGGGGAGGTGGGGCTGGGGCGACAGCACGCATGCCCACAGAGAGGGCTCTGCATGCCACCTCTGGCATGTGTGCCATAGGTTCGCCACCACTGGTATAGGATGTCCTGCTTGAGCAGGGGGCTGGACTAGCAGACCTCCAAGGTCTCTTCCAGTTCAATTCTGATTCTGATTCAACTGGTGACACCCCCCTCTTCTCTCACCAGGCTCCTCCCAGGCCATGATCAGAAGTTCCAGAAGCCTGGAATGGTCCACATAGCACCAATAGTGGTCCCTCTCCTTTAGTCAACCTCGATGCTCAGCCAGGCATGGTAGGTCCCATCTGAGTAGGTCTGATTTGCCAAACACACTGGACTATTTCAAGGGTTTGTCTGAACTTAGGCTAGGTCTTTTAGGGCCTGGCATGTTGAGTGAATCCAACCTTTGACCAATTTAGGGTCAACGCATTGGGTGAACCCAGTAAATGAAGAAGCTCCATCAGTGCGTTCATTAGGTTGTATGACCACAGACACTCTAGGAACAACTTTGCTCATATTCCATTGGTGCCCCCCTCCTTCTCTCACCAGGCTCCTCCCAGGCCACAATCAGAGGTTCCGGAAACCCGGCATGATCCACGTAGCACCGATAGCGGTCCCTCTCCTTCGGGTCAACCTCAATGCTCAGCCAGGCGTGGTAGGTCCCATCTGAGTTTGGAAGAACACCACCCCGGAAGGTGTCCTGTTCCCAGACTTCCCCATTTTTCCTCCAGGTAGCATCTATCTCTTTGGGATAAAAGCCGTAGACTGTGCAGACGAGCGTCTCCAGGCCGTTGTACTGGGTCCTGCGAGTTACTTTCACCACTGGGGGCTCTGTAGAGAACACAACACCAGCATATTGTAAGACTGCACAGGTATAGTACGGAGACATTGCACCACTGATCTGGTGCTCTCCTGCGACATCACCGACCCTTGGCTCCCTCCTTCCTTCCTCACCTATCCTCAGCAGAGATTCCTTTCCATACATCATGCACTTCTGAAGCAGCCTGATACATTCCTGTTCCAAAAAGTTATTCCTGCGCTGGGTGAGGAAAGGTTCAGCTTCCCACCTTCTCTTGATCACCTGAGCGCGGATGTCGACAGCGGTCCAGGTGAGGGTCTTCTGATCCAGGCTGATGAAGTCTTCCCCGTCATAGCCATACTGGTAAACTCCGCTCTTGTGGCCATCTTTGCTCAGATCGCAGCCGATCACGCGCTGCCAGCTGTGAATTCCTGCACCCAGTTTTGGTCACCACATTACAAAAAAAAAAAAGAGGTTGAGACTTTGTAAAAAGTACAAAGAAGAGCAACTAAGGTAGATTAAGGGCCTGGAGACTAAAAGATACGAAGAACAGTTGCAGGATTTGGGTTTGGCTAGTCTAGAGGAAAGAAGGGCTGGGGGGGGATCACGATAGCAGTATTCCAATATTTGAGGGGCTGTCGCAAAGAGGAGGGGGTCAGTTTATTTTCCAAAGCACCAGAGAGCAATTCAAGAAGCAACAGGTGGGAACCAATCAAGGAGAGAAGCGACCTGAAATTAAGGAGAAACTTCCTAACAGCGAGGACAATTAACCAGTGGAACAGCTTTGCCTTCAGACGTTGTATAGGGTAAGGTGAGGCAAGATAAGATGATAAGATAATATAAGATATAAGATATAAGATATAAGAAGATATAAGATATAAGATATAAGCTATAAGACTGGTCTTCAAACCTGGCCCTTTTATGACTTGTGGACTTCAACTCCCAGAATTCCTCAGCCAGCGTGCCTGGCTGAGGAATTGTGGGAGTTGAAGTCCACAAGTCATAAAAGGGCCAAGTTTGAAGACCCCGATATAAGATATAAGATATAAGATATAAGACATAAGGCATAAGACATAAGATATAAGATATACGATATAAGACATAAGATATAAGATATAAAATAAGAGGAGAGAGGAGAGAAGAGGAGAGTATAACCTTAATTGTCATTTTTTACGGTGAGCACACTGGCCCAAATTAAAAATGAAATCCTGTTGACTGTTCTCAAAAGAAAGAATATATCTACCCATACACACACCTACCACACATATACACATGCTATATACCAGTGATGGCGAACCTTTTAGAGACCGAGTGCCCAAAAACTGGCCCCGCCCCCGCTCCACCTCCTGCCCCGCCCCCACCCCATCCCCCACCCCACTTGCCCGCAGAGCCACTCACCGCCTCCAGGGCCCACCGCAGATTGCCCAGGAAGCCCAGCAGCGCCATGGCGGCCACGCCCTCTGCCCGCGTCCTGCAGCATCAACTGTGCAGGATGAGGCATGAGGGCAGAGTCTTGTCTACGCTGCCTGGCTGCCATGTCCTTGGCTGTGCTGCTCTGGGTGGGCCATGCTCAGGGGCGACTCTCCTCCAGGGGGGCTGCTGGTGAGGAGGGAGTCATGGGGGGAGGCGAGGCTGGGGCAACGGGACGTGTGCCCACAGAAAGGGCTCTGAGTGCTGCCTCTGGCACGCGTGCCCTAGGTTCGCCCCCATTGCCCTATCCTATCCTATCCTATCCTATCCTATCCTATCCTATCCTATCCTATCCTATCCTATCCTATCATCTTATCTTATCATCTTATCTTATCTTATTGTATCTTACCTCTGCTGGAGTTGTGGTGGCTGCGCAAGATGGCGAGCTCAGTTTTGAACATCCTCTCGATGGTGCTCACTCTCCATGATGAATGATCCCAGAAATGGGAGTCGTCCTCGTCGTCCATTTTATGAAGCCAGGCCATTTGGGGCAACAATCTTCTTGTGGGGGTGTCAAAATTTGCAGCCAGCTGGTCATCCACATATGCCACCACAATGTAGCGGGGCACATCCTGGCTGGAGCCCATGACCAGGGTGTAGAAAAGGCGCAACGAATGGGAGGAGGAGCCTGAAAAGAGCAGGGGGGGAAGGAAATTTGGGAGAGGGGTGCCCAAAGGCACACTTTTAATCCCCCCTTTTTTAATTTGAAACCAGCTTCCCCACAGTCAGGTGATCAAAGTTCAGACGCTTGGCAACCGACTCATATTTGTGTCCTTTTTGCGACTTTCTGACGAGCAAAGTGAATGGGGAAGCCAGATCCGCTTAGCAGCGGTGTTACTAATTGAACGACGACGGTGATTGGCTTAGCAAACATGGCAACAAAAGTCGTAAAATGGGGCAAAACTTACTTAATAAATGTCTCACTTAACAACACCAATTCTGGGCTCACTTGTACTCTAAAACAGAGGTCTCCACACTTGTTAAGTTTGTGAACTTCACCTCCCAGAATTCTCCACCCAGCATAGCTAGCTAAGGAATTCTGGGGCTTGAAGTCCACAAGTCTTAAAGTTGCCAAGGTTGGATATTCCCTGCTCTAAAATCTAGGGAAGGTATATCAGGAAAGATATCATGCAGTGATAGTCCAAAAGGGGGATCGACTAGGTGCCCTCTAGTACCCCTTCAATTCTACCCCAAGAGGTATAAAACCATGCCAAACACGTACAAAGAGTTTTAACAAAAGTGTACTTATTTCAGACAGGTGGGATTGAATCTAGCCACCTCGTCGGGCGAAGCCTCTGGAACTCGCTGCCACAGGAAAACCAGACTGCCCGCCTCAGATCTCCATAGCCCTGCCTCCACCACTCACCTGCGCATCCTCCCCACAGCAACTGGATGGCAGGATTAACAATAGGCCTTTATTTCAGATGGGTGGGCTCTAACCTGGCTCCCCAAACGGGCGAAAGCCTCTGGAACTCGCTGCCACGGGGAAAACAGGGCTGCCCCGCCTGGTTTAAGCCCCGCCTCCTTCGGTCACTCACCTGCGCATCCTCCCAGCAGCAACAGGAGGGTCGCCGCGGACAGGAGCCCCCAGCGGGCCACCGGGAGCCCCATCTGGATCCAGCCCCGATCAGCTGGCGACGAAGGATCGGGTCTAGGCTGCGGCCGAAGGAGAAAGTTTGTAAAAAGGCGCCGGAGGAACCGAACGCTGGAAAGTGAAAGTTTGGGGAGAAGGAAGGGTGAGGAAAGGGAAGGAGCCGGAGCGAAAGGAAACTCCGGGGCAAAAAAAATCCCGCCCAGCCCCGAGCGCGAAGAGGAATAGAATAGAATCCCAGAGTTGGAAGGGACCTTATAGGTCATCTAGTCCAACCCCACCCAGCCCCCTGCCCAAACAGGAGGAATCAGCCCCTTAGCTGGTGGGCGAGGCATCGTGAGAACTGCTCTTGTTGGTTTGAGGAGCGGGTCAGCTCAGTGGCCCCGGTTCCCCAAGACAGGGAGACCCGCCTGCCCGCTTCACGGGTGGGTGATCTGATTCCAACCTAGTTTCCTGGGGGGGACTACAATCCCCATTTCCCCCTGTGGCCTGGGGATGATGGGCGTTGTCTCGAACACCCGCGGAAGGCGCCCGATGGCCTGGATCGGGGTAGGCGACCTTGGCTCTTTTATGTCTCGTGGACTTCAACTCCCAGCATTCCTGAGCCAGTCTTTTATGTCTCGTGGACTTCAACTCAGGAATTCTGGGAGTTGAAGTCCACGAGTCATAAAAGAGCCAAGATTGCCTCCCCCTGGCTGGATAAATAAAAGTGCCTGGAGTCTGGAGTTCTTCAAATCGATTTTTTTTTTATAAAAAAACCTTCCCTTTCTCACCTGCCAAACTTTCCCGCTCCTTGTCTTCACCTTTGCCGGCTTCTGACGCTGCTGGTCCGCCAGTTTATCCTCGGGGGCCAGAGGCGGAAACGTATCCAGGCAAGACCCAAAACGAAACCAAACTTATTTTGGCGTTTGGCGGCTTGAACCGTTGCTGATCTTCAGCGTGAAGCACCAGCCCTTCCAAACGTCACTCGGGGGCCTTTCGGTGAGTTTTGCCGTTGGAGGATTGGAGAGAAAGGAGGGAAGGAAAAAGGGGAAGAAGAAGAAGAAGAAGAAGCGCTGTTCCGGGCTGGCTCTCCCCTCATTTCCTCCCCCCGCCCCAAAGTCCTCCTTCCCGCAGCTCCACCCCTCCTGCTTCATTGGGCCGTTGGCATTTCCCCGAGTAAACATTTCCCGTTTCTTTTCTGAGCCAGGAGTGAAGGTGAGAGTGTCCGGACTCAAAGGTGCTTTTTCACCAGGCAACTGGACTTTCTTGTTTTTCTTTGGAGACGTTTTGCTGAAGAGCAACTAAAATGATCCAAGGCCTGGAGACTAAAACATATGAAGAACGGCTGTGGGACTTTGGTTTGGCTAGTCCAAGGGGTAGGCAACCTTGGCTCATTTATGACTCGTGGACTTCAACTCCCAGAAAGGAAGGAAGGGAGGGAGGGAGGGAGGGAGGGGAGGGAGGGAAAGAAAGAGGAAGGGAGGGAGGGAAGGAGGGAGGGAGGGAGGGAAAGAAAGAAAGAAAAAAAGAAAGAAAGAAAGAAAGAAAGAGGGAGGGAGGGAAAGAAAGAAAGAAAGGAAGAAAGAAAGAAAGAGGGAAAGAAAGAAAAGAAAGAGGAAGAGAGGAAAGAAAGAAAGAGAGGGAAAGAAGAAAGAAAGGGAAAGAAAAAAGAAAGAGGAAGAGAGAGAGAGGGAGAGAGAAAGAAAGAGGGCAAGAAAGAAAGAAAAAGGAAGGAAGGAAGAGGGAAAGAAAGAGGAAGGGAGGGAAGGAGGGAGGGAAAGAAAAAGAAAGGGAGGGAGGGAAAGAACGAAAAAGGAAGAAAGTGAAAGAAAGAAAAGAAAGAAAAAGAAAAAAGAGAGGAAGAGAGAGGGAGGGAGGGAGAAAGAAAAAAGAAAGAAAGAAAGGGAGGAAGGGAAGGAAAGAAAGAAAAAGAAGAAGAAAGAGAAAGAAGACAGAGAAGAAAGAAAAAGAAAGAAAGAAAGAAAGAAAGAAAGAAAGAAAGGGAAAGAAAGAAAGAGGAAGAGAGAGAGGGAGGGAGAAGGAAGGAAGGAAGGAAAAGAAAGAAAGAAAGAAAGAAAGAAAGAAAGAAAGAAAGAAAGAAAGAAAGAAAGAAAGAAAGAAAGAAAGAAAGAAAGAAAGAAAGAAAGAAAGAAAAAGACAGTCAGTCAGTCTTGGGCTGGCTCTCCCCTCTCCCAAATTCCTTCTTTGGGGCTACCTTCCCTCCTGCTTCAAAGAGCCTCCTTTAAAGAGTTCTGCTGTTTAATAAGTTACCAATTCTCCTTTGTATTTCTGAGGCGGGAGTGAAAGCAGAGGGTGTTTAATAAGTAACCAAGTCCCCTTTGTAATTCTGAGCAAAAAGTGAAAGTGAAAGGAGAGTGTTCAGAGCTCTGCTCTCCCCACCTCCTTCCCCCATTCCTGGTAGAGGCTGAGCCTCCCTACAGTCCCC